ACAGAGTTCTACTCAGTGGTAAATAAAAATGAAATGAAATTTGCAGGTAAATGGGTGGAAGTAGAAACTGTTATACTAAGTGGAGTAACACAGACTTAGAAAAACAAGTGACATATGTTCTCTCTCATTTGTGGATTTTAGCTTCAAATCCCTAGATGTGCATATATCTCCTGATGTAACCTCAGGAGCCAGGAAGAAGGAAAGGAACCATGGAGATAAAGGAGAAGAAGGAGCTTGAGAGAGGGAGATAGTAGGAGACAGGTGTTATTAAGGGGGAAATGGAGAAAAGGGGGTTCGCTAACTGGGGAGTGAGTAGTGAGGGCTATACAGGGGTAGTGAGAGGAGAGATAAGTAATGCTTAGGTGGTATGAATAAGCCAGATGCAAATTTATTAGTTCAAAGTCCAACTTAAAAATATACATACAATAAATTAATATATGAGTGCAAGTATATAGCTGAAGGCTACATAACAACAACAACAAAATAAACAAACAAACAAAAAAACGAAACACCCCCCCCTACAGTGCCAGGGAGGAGAAACCTCCCTTCAAGCTGTTGGTCAGGGTAGTCCAAGAGACTACCAAAATAACACAGGCTATTGCCACAGCCCTTGATTTCATCCCAGAACTTGAAGGTAAGACCCTATTGCTGAAGACAGGCCAACTTAAGACACAGGACTTGAAGCAATTGAGTTGGAACTGAGCTGAAAGCCTCCTCCTTGAAGACTAGCTCTCATGGAATCAGAAGATGTTATCAAAGCTGCCAAGGGAGAAAACCAATTAATGGTTCTACCCAGCTATAAAGCCTAATAAACAACAATGAGTGGCCCAGCAAACTATTACTATTGATAAAATAGTGGTACTTTCATCTTGGAGGTTATCAACACCTGTCTGATTGGGATTAAAACCCACTCAGTGTGAGGGAACTCATGTGTGGTACTGTAAACATAGCCAAATACACATGACTGGAGAGGTCATAGATCCTAAAGAAAAACCTACTTTTGCCACATCCTTAAACCACTGTAATTTCTTAATTCTAAATATGCATCATCATATGTCCAGACAAGTGTACCTCTCACACCTCATCAAAGAAGTATCTTTCTGCGACAGATGGAGACTATCACACAGTTCTAGAACTGGTCACATAAAGAGAATAAATGCCTGTGAGACACTTGACCCTATGTGACACATTTTCAATTCAACTTCTATACATAGGATGAATGAAACAGAGAAGTTTCCTTATATAGCAGATGGTGATTAACACAGAGACCTACAATTGACCACTGGGCAGAGAACAAGAGGTCACAGAGTACTTATCCTTATTAGGACACCTATTTCAAAACTCTGCTTCTCAGAGCTCAGTGATGATTTTGGAAGAGGAGGTGGAAAGATTATAAGAGTCAGAGGGGTTGGATGACCGCAAGGAAAGAGAGTCATCCAGATAGCTGGTGTGCTACTCATATGAACTGACAGTAATGATGACAGCATGCACAAGTGTTTTATAAGTGCAAACCAGTCAAAATCCCAGCATAGATATGGGGAAGTGGATAAGAAATATCAACCCAACCTAAGGAACTTTTGGCAATTGATGGCTATTAAGAGGGAGAGAGACAGTTTCTTACAGGGATGGAACTCTTGGTGGGCCCAGTCAATGGACCTAAACTGAAGGACATTTGGGGATACAAATCAGACTCTACAGGCAATATATATATATATTCAATTGGGCAGGAGTCAGTGAAGGGAGGTGCAAATAGAGGAGGGGATATAGATACCATCAAACTATATTGTATAAAAACCACAAAAATTCAATAAAAATAAAAATTTAAAAAGATTAAAAGCAGTTACCTTATAACAGGAGGACATTGCCCCTACCAGACACTATGGGCTTGCAAAGTAAAAGGACCCAGTACCAGGAATGGTCTCCCTCATTTGAAGCTGTTGAACAGGGTTCTCGTAGACCCTCAACAATATTGGCCAATACCCCTGTTTTTGAGTATCTACCAGAACTTCATGGTAAGATCCTACTGCTGAAGACACTAGATACATAAACTGATAGCAAACAGAAATCAACCTGACGCTAACTTCAAAGCCTCATTTTTTTATTTATTATTGTTATCCTATGTGTATGAGTGTGTTGCCTGCATGTGTGTTAAGTGCACCTGTGTCATGCAGTGCTCGAGGAGGTCAGAAAAAGGTGTCAGATTCCCTGGAACTAGAGTTATGGATGGTTGTTAGCTGTCTTCTGTCAGTGCTCTTAACCACTGAGCCCTCTCTCCAGCCCCAAAGCCTCATTTTTACTGTCTAGACTTCATAGTTCTGAAAGATGCTAAGCATGCTACCTGAAGAAAAAATTTAGCATGAACATTACCTAGCTCTGAGTCTTGTGAGCTTTGTAGATATTCCCACTCATGCAATAGTGGCATGAATATTATAGGAGTAAATAATTACTTTCTAATTGGATTTAAGGTCCACTTCAAAGGATGGGGCCTATACTTCACATTGATATCAGGCCCAGGAACCTGAGGCTAGACAGCCTCCAGGCCATGGGAGAAGGATAATATATCCATTCTGCTAATAGATATAGTAGTGAACTGATTTCTAATGACTGATTGTTATGCCCATAGATTAATGCGTCTCTCAATTCTCAGCAGAAAAGCTTCCTTATGTAGCAGATGGAGATTAACACAGAGAACTACAACTGGCCAGTGTTCAGAGAAAAGGAAGCTGCAGACTGCTTATCATCGAATAGGCCACCCATATAGCAAATTTTTATCTCCCGAGGCTCAGGGATCATTGCAGAATAGGGGGTAGAAAGACTGTAAGAACCAGAGGAGGTGGATGACCACAAAGGAAGAGAGTTTTCCAGACAGCTGATAAGTTACTCATATGAATTAATAGAAATGCTGACAACATGGGCAAGTCCCACATGAGTTCAAGCCAGACAAAATCCCAACATAGACTTGGGGAAATGGGAAACAAACCCCAAGCCTATATGAGGAACTACTGGCAACTGATGACTGCTGGTAAGGGACGATTCAGTCTCATTTAAGGGTGAGAGTCTTAGTAGGCTGTCCAGGTTTCAGTGGATGAACCCACACCAAAGGGCATTTGGGGATACCAACCCGACCCTATAGGATATATATATATATATATA